AAAGGTAAAGACGTGGGGTTCTTCAAATAGTGTCTGACACCCAGTAAGAGCTCAGCAATTCGCTCTCATTACCAATTTTGAAAAATTAGCCTTATAAATTGCAAAGACTTTCCATATGAATTTGTAGCTGTAAATAAATACTGGAATTATATTCTACACTTCCAGCATCTTATTAAAACGTGGTGTGCTTCTATACACCCCTTCACCCCCGACTCATACTGTGCTTGTTTCTTGTAAGAAAACTCCTAGAGCATTGCTGATTGATGGGATTCGCTGCACTAGCTACTCGTAGTGGGGCGGGTTAGTTCTGCAGGCATCAGGCAACGTTAAGGTACCTCCTTGCTGGTCTGGGCGGCACTGCTGTCTTCCTTGGGGGCTCTAGGGCCTGTGAGGGTGGCCACTGCGTGCTGTAGACAGGCAGGTTTCCTCTGCTCTTCCTCCTCATGGATGTACAGGCTTGGTGTCACCTCTGGGCCACTGTGGCTGCACCACGAGGCGTCTGGGTCTTGAGGGCCTAGCCCCCCTCGGGCGCCTGACATCACCCCTTCCCAGGTGTCCTCCTCTTCCTCTCCAATGACAGGGAGGGTCTGGGGCAAGGGAACCACATTTGTGTGTGTGGAGGCCACAAACTTGTCCCCGAGGACTTCGGGCGCTCTCTCGGGGCCTGTGAAGGCTTTTCTCATCTGTGTCCAGTCTGCACCCTTGTTCTGCGTTATCTTTCTGGGGTCCTGCACCAGCGTTGCCTTGTGAGGCTGGACTGTAGTTGAGGTCACACCTGAGCCAGGTAAAGGTGGCCGAGAGGAAGGTGATTTGGCAGGCGCAGATGCTGGAGGCGACGGGAGGGGAACGGAGGGCCCCTCTTTAATCTCAAGGGTGATCTCCTCAAGGAGATCGGCTTGGTCATCTGATAAGGCTAAAGCACCAAGCTTCTCTAATTCATCCAAGATGCTGTCCAGAAGAGGAGGTGGTGATGGGGCCAGAGGGTTTGCTGGGGGACACTGAGCTGTCAGGGACAGCCACCACTGGGCGGGTGAAGCTGGGTGCGTGAGAGGAGGGGCTGGTTCCCTGGAAGCCGACTTAGAAATGAGCAGGGATTATGAAGTAAAAGAAAGAAAGAAACCAAGAAAAAAAAAATAGTAATGCATCAAAACACAGAGACAGAAATGCAGGAAAGGTAGTGAGTACAAAAAAATATTTTATGCCGTGGTGTAGATTTGAAGATACTTTGCTGAATTTAACTATACGTAAAACCATTAGCATGTCGATTAGAAAGTTATCTGGAAAACGAAGCTCTCCTAGTCTTCGGAAGGGGTCTCGTGTCAAATGACAAAAAATAAAGCTGTCAGAGAGATTATAAAGACAGGCGGCAAAACCGTGAGAGATCTAACCGATTACCTTTCAAACTAGGTTCCCAGATACTGACTTAGTAGAAATGACTTTGAGATAATATTAATGTAGAATGAAAACCAATCATTAAAACTTTTCCAATCCCTGAATTTTTTGAGTGTTCTTTTTTCCAGGAGCATTGCCAAATCTGAGGGACTTTCGTAATTTTCTCACTTATGTTCACCAGGTGACTATAACATACGGCATCAAGTATTTTCACATGGTTATACGTTAACACATTTCTAAATGAGTAAGTCCTGAAAAATATGTCTGGAGAACAGAAACCCATGATCAGAAGGAAACTGAACTTACACTAACTAACTACTACTTCAAAGTTTTTAAAAAATCCAAAGTAAATGATTACATTGAAAGGGAGCATATGTTAGTGGGAGTAATCTCCTAGGACTCCCATCTCGCTCAAAAGTCTGACATTTTATGTAAATTTGGGGAGGTATAATTTATGAAGCTTGATTTTTTTGAGTAAAAGTATACTTCTGTGTATCTTAGTATGATTGCTATATTCTGGATATATTGGACAAAACAGAATTTTTATGTAAATTCATTCAAAGGTCTAGAGGGGCTGCTCAGTAACATTCTCCTACATGTATCTGTTGTTACTGGACTGGAGAGAATGGTAGGGGCCACACATATGAAGGCCTTGAGGGAGGCCGGTGGGTGACATTTTACTTTAGCTCTTTCCAGGTAGATGATTTTGGTTTGGAAAGAAAAAATGTTCAGGGAAGATTGTGGAGATGCACTTTCTCGGTGGTGGTTAGGATGAGTTGGCAGTTCTGCACTCAGCACCCTGGGTCCGGGGGCCTTAATGTGTATCAGTGCACAGTGCACAATGCACCTCCCACCTAACTTTTGACTTCTGTGTCCTATAATAGGAATGGGGTGTTAATAGAGTTTATTTAGCTGGTGGGTTTTTTTTTAAAGCAAATATGTCATGTCACCATGTGGTGGGATAAATGAGATAGTGTCATAAAACTCATGTGATCATTTTACGCAAGATTAGGACTAAAGGCTGCTTAACACCTGATACAAAGTGATACTGTACACGTGGTTCTATCACTGGATAGACAGACACTCCTAGCAAGTCCTGTGTATGTTTAATTTTTAATGAGACAGAAATTACCTAAGCCTTCTTTGATAGCCCAGAGAAGTTCCCTATTGGCCAGAATCCTATTTTATGTTCTGCATTAATGCAACACAATGATAGATTTGGAAAGCCTGTGAAATACATAATAATTCAAGATTATTAGTTGTTACTTTCTCTCATGGACAGAAATATGATGTGGATGAGAAAGAAAGATCTTTAAATTCCGTCATTGTCATTACTACCCCCATCACTGTTACTACTACAGTGTCATTACCACCATAGTCACAATATATGTTGACAGGTTCAAAGTGCTTAGCTTTATAACGGACTTGTTTCTACTGAAAGTCAAATTAAGTATCCTGGGGTACCCGTATCACAGACATATACCTATGATACAAAAATCATATAATTGTCTTCCAAAAGCACTACAATTGGATTCTCCTGTACTAAAACCAGGAATATCAGAAATATTATCAACTTACATATGAGTCACCCCTAAAATACGCTATGTCGAGAAGTGTGATTTGAGTGTGTCAAATAGTGATTCATAAATCACTTAATGAATCCTTGTCTTTACTTGCAAATATCAGTTAGAAAACAGGATCTGTAGCATACATTGGATGTCATCGTTTAGAAGTACATTGTGGTTCTTTTTCTGAAAATGATGGAGTTCAACACTACTGAGAAGTTTCCTTCATTAAGCCAATGACATCACAGCATCGATTACCAGATGGAGTAAAACCATTAAGTGTTTTTTTCTCCCCACATTATGGATGTCAGCTTTTCAACATATTTTTCCCCCAGCAGTGAGAATAAAACACTACTTAGTTATGCGTGCAATTTGCACATTAATCTATGTATAAAATACAAAATCTGGTGTTCTAAGAAAAAACTTAAGAAATAGAAAATACATTTAAATCATACAACAAAGGTTAGAAGATTGTGATAAAAAAGTACGTTGTCACAATATTAATTAGGACGTTATGGGAGAATTCCTTAAATGCTAAAATAAACCTTCACAGAGATACAAGCTATTCTTTCTTACAAAATTGTATTTGAAGGCGTAGCTGCTTTGAGACTGATCTGGTAGTTTGTTTAAAGAAGACCGAATAGTGGATAAGCCAACTACTGTGTGGACGAAGGTTCTTATCTTTCCAACCTCTAAGTGATAAGCTCTGGCAGCAAAGCAAATACACTAAAAGAAGATTCTGGAAAAACGTTATAACCAATCAAACAGAAATGACTGATTCTGTGCCAAATGGTTCCGTTACCCAGTGAGAAAGGGCTGAGAGTAATTAGCCCACAACTGACACCCAGTCTTCAAAGAGAAGTAGAATGAATATAATGCCTGGCCTTTGCCCTTTTACAGAAAATGCTTCTCTTACAATAGATCTTGGATTATTTACTTCCATGAAACCCTTCTAAGACTCATTTTCAAGTGGATGCTGCCTTGGGGTGGTCTTGCATTGGAACAGGAGATCGCCGCGCACTTTATTGTCTGATGTGTTGATGTTATTTTGCTGGCTCTAGATGGTTCATTTTTCCATGTCCTAGCCCTGCTCTTAATTATTTATTAACAAATTAATAAATTATGCAACTTCATGCATTTTTTTAAAATGTTGGGTAGTACTTAGAATATTTCGGAACTAATTCCTTGGTAACTTAAAGTTTTATACTTGGAGGTTAACGAAAAGGGGAAAGAAACCCCTAAATACCATCCATAAGAAGAATGTACTATATTATAACTTAACAGAAAAGTTAAGAAAAAATTTCACATTATGAGTAAAGAAAGTAGAATAGCTTTTTAAAATTAACCAGTTCAGGAAGCAAAGTTCCTTTTAGACTAGATATTGAGAAAGGTAATTATCTTCAGCCACTAGCTCAGTGAGAACTGGCACATAATCATCCTAAAACTAATAAAATACACATGAAGATGTCTAATGACCAATGACATTTCCACTCATACTAATAAATAAACTCACAGAGTTTAATTAAAAAATTTTACTCTATTCCTATATTAAAAAATCTCAAGACTTTTATATAATTTTTTCAACCTAGTTACCATGTATTGTTGAAACAAACCATTTGGGGATCTATCGATCTATCTATAGCTGCTTATGTACGTATACATACATGTGTATCTAATCCACATAAAATATACATATATAAATAAAATTAAGCTTTAGAAAAAAGTCAAGTTTCAAGAAAATTTAGTTTCAGAAAGCAGATATATTTATGTATATATATCATATAGGGTCTTATGATACTAATGTTTTCTTTTTTCAGTATTTTAACTGGAAAATGAGATTCTCAGAATCAAGCATTAAACCTTTATGCCAGCACCCATAAGAAAAATTAAATTACATTGACTTGTCTTTTCACTCACACTTAGAAGCATTGTAAATCTTTTGCTTTACAATAAAGATTTTGTTCTAGTCTAATGCCCTAAAATCACCTATTATCTTACTCCAAGCTCCCAGATGTCCTACTGATATACTAAGTGTCTTCTTACCTTGTTTGAACTTAGGCTGTGGATCCTGTCACTGGAGTAGCTGTGGGGTGTGGGAGGGTCGGGGTAGTCCTCCACACCTTTGGCTGTGTTCCTCTTGATGACTTCTACATAGGAAACAGGGAAGATGCCTTGTCTGTTGGTTCCTGGGATTCTACCTTCGTACCAGTTCTGATCAACTCTTTTGAGAAGAATAACTCTATCTCCCTGTAATGAACAGTAGGAAAATACATTATAAATAGAGCTGTGATCACAGGAAAAATATAATTGCCAGTGTTTTCTAATAAAGACTACTTTACCATTTGGGAAAGTTTTATTTAGTTGGGAGAATGCAACTAAAGTCTCGGTTCATTCCCAAATTATAGCTTATCAGCATATATGTAATTTAATCACCATTCATGACGCCCTTCCCTAAGGATGCTGGGTTAATGTGAAGGGGCTTATGCATGTTCATACTGGTGCAGTGTGGGATGACTTGTGTAAGTCATGTCAAAAAGCAGGGCCTGCATGTGACCACTCGCTCGTCTGTGCGGCGCGCAGACATGCCCCTGCCGCGAACAGATGGATGCGACTGCTTAGCAGGTGGCGAAAACACTCATCGGATCCTCGCTGCGCCAAGCGGCAAGTTCAACAGTCTTTTCCATAGTTAGGAAGAGGTACTAGGATTGGACAGGCTTCCGGCGAAATTTGGCTCAGTCATGAGGCCCAGAGAAGGAAAAATGCTCCCCAGGAAGAAACAGCTTCATTACCTCAGGGCCTTTCCTTGATTCCAAGATAAAAGTATTGTTAACTTTTTTAAGGTTGAATGACAGGCAGCAGAGCAACAACATTTTGAAGTATATTGATGTGCTTTTCCTTCCGAGGCCTTTCCACGAGCATAACTCCACGGTGCTCAGGCCCAGGCACCCCTAGGAGGGGATCCGGGGCCCCCCAGGCTACTCCACGGAGGGAAAGTCTCTCTGAGGAGCTCTGAGTCCCACAGGGACCCCGCCCGGACACAGGGAGCTGCGGGAAACAGTGGCTCAGGGCAGCCCTCGGGAGTCCTTGGTCCTTTCTTTAGGGGAAAATGCAAAAATGCCCCAGGAAGAAGACGGCCTATGTTAGTCCTGAAAGCACAGCCTTCCCAATGCCCCGTGGCGGGCACGCCAGGTTACCTTTCTCAGCGAGAGCTCCACGTTTGTGTCGGCGCTGAAATTGTACTTGGCCACAGCCTCCCCGATTTCTCCAGGCTGGGCCGGGGGAGGCGGCCTCGCGGGCTGCGCCTTCTCGGGAGGCGTGAGTTTCTGCGGGGAAAACAGCCGTTTATGCCTGACCGGGAGCCCTCGGGGTTAGCAGCCCGTGGCGGGAAGGGGCAGGGCTCACCTCCACGTAGGAGATCGGGAAAATGCCCACTCGCCCGTGGTTCTCGCCCTCGTACCAGTTCTGGTCGATTTTCCTGAGGATGTACACGGTGTCTCCTTTCTTAAACGAGAGCTCCCTGGAAGACACGTGTTCCCATGGTTTTTTCTCAGTGTAGAGCAATTATTCTTAAGATCACTAGACCTGCATTCAGCTGGGAAACATACTTACAATATTAAAAATAAAAAATCTGTCCAGCCCAGTTGGATAAGGGTTCTCCTTACAAATTCTTAGAATTCATTTATAACATTACCACTTTAGAAATGATTTCAAAAAGGACAGGTATAAACATGTCTGATATAAGTCACAGGTAGATTAATACAAAAATTTAAAGGTGGGGATAGACTATAGTGGAGAACTTGTAAAGCTTGGCATAATGATGGATTAATTTTGGACTGAATTTTTTTTCTCCTGAAGCTAGTGAACTAGTTAGCTAGCTGGTTACTTTTCTCTCTTTCTGTCTCCTTTTCACCTGCTAAAGCTTACAATAAGGAAAATAAATATCATTTAGTCCTAGCACAGAAATGTCAATACCAGAACAGTTTTTATTTGTGGGTCCTTAAAGCTGGTTGACAAGCATTTGAGTAGAGTATCTTGATGAGGAATTTGTTTGTAACACGTCCCATTGCAATATTTCTCTCTTAAAGTATTACGAAAGTATTTAAGGCCAACTTAAATCATATGATGAATACTTATCTTACTTACTTAGATGTCTGAGCCTTAAAATCATAAACAGCTTTTGCAGGCAATTTCTGAAAAAAGGAAGGTAAATGATTAGCCTTAACTTAAAATTTGGATTTCCTACGAGAAAGTTCATGTGAATGAAAGAGAAATGAAAGCTCAAGGAATGATTAAAAATATATACTGTAAATTCTGTATGCAGTTTATGAATAAACCAGCTTTTCATTTAGATATTTAAGCTACAGCAGGAATATCATAGATGGCTTATCACCATAACTATTGAATGTCAGAGTTCATCTTAGTCACTAAGGTAGACGAGTGCCAGAATAGGGGAAGAAAACACCCACAGAGGATTCTGTCCCAGGTAGAATTTTGGCTGTAACCAAGGGATAACTGGAGGGTCTGTTGATCGATGTCTTACGCATTGACACAGCTCCTTCTGAATCATAGCAGAAGGACAGGTGAAAGGAAGGAAGTCATCATTGCTTTTTCTAAACACTTATTAACATAGTAGCAGAGAACTATTAGCCCAGTTATCACGGGGAGGCTAGTTAGTGGCCAAAGTATATGCTTGATGGTCTTGCTTTCCCTGGAGGGCTCAGGAGCTCTGCACACAGTAAACCAGCTGCTCGTCTTTTAGACACGATGTGATGGGACGTGTGCTCCCCATCACGTGCCTGGTACTAACTTGGGGCCCTCAGATCTGCCTGGAGCCCTTCTACTGGAGAGCGAGCTACTCCAGCTCTTCCTTCCCTGCTTCTCGGTAAGCCCTCATTCCACTCTTTCCCCCTGCGGTTCTGGTGAACTTAGGCAACCTGGACCATTCTTGACTTCTTTGCAGGGGAGGGGGGTTGTCCCATGGGCACAGGACTCTATCAGACACCTATAGAGATACACCTGAAGGGACTTCCAGTCCAAGACCAGCCTTCAGTCTCTATGAGAGCTCCAGCCTGGCTCAGGACATTGGTTAAGAGCCAGTAGGTAGGTGGTTCCCAGGGACAGTGGTTTTTTGAGGGACCCCCTCCAACAGAAGCAGGCCAGCAAAAATGATTTATGTAGACTTTGTATTGATCTGCAGCACAGTTGACCTAAGGCTCTCCCCTCCATCCCTTGGCCAGGGGAAACCTCCTTCCTTCCTGGGTGGCCCAGCTCAAGATGCTTTTAGACCACAACTGTTCACTCATGGGTGTGAGGTCCAGGTGCAGAGAGGCCTCACTGCCACAGCTGGACCACAGCTGGGGAAGACCTGCAGCTAGGGACAGAATGCAAACTGCTCTAGTCCCTTGCTCAGGCTCTGGGGAAAACGTTCTGAGTTTCTCCATTGTCATTTTATGTTTTCAATCTGGGTTCTTTACTGATTTTGGGTGTAACTTTGGCAAGTGCTTTATCAGGTATCTTGTTGACAAAAATTCAAATGCTGCTGAGCTAACTAACTACCTCTTTTTCTGGAGTTCCTCTTCTTTCCCGTGGTGCACTTCTCCCCAGGTCAGTCAGAGTGGACGAGTAACTCCTAGGGGACTCGCGGTCTATTGGAAAGGACAGGGCCAGAGTGAGTATCCACCTATTAAAAGCAGACCCGTTGAGCCATTTTCCCTGGTGGCAACTATTTTTCCCCTTAAATACGGGGAGACATCACAATGGAGAACATGGGTATAAAACTCATAGGTGATCATAAAGTTGTACTAGACACAAAAACAGAGCATTTCCAAAGGAAGGCTACCTGAGGTCGCAGAAGTATGATAATCGTGCATATAAATCTAACTGTTGCTGATACAATTATACAGTAGCACCTGGGCCAGAAAGTTCCTAGTTGCAAGGATTTTTCCACCTCAAAGACTTTTTAATATTTTCTATTTCTATTCTTTTGCGTCCAACTTACAATGACTATTCTAAGGCCTATAGAAGATGGAGAACAGCAATAATTTATAGAAGCGGAAACATTTTGTGGAACAATTTAAAAATGTGGTAAAGAAAAAGAGAAAAATAAAGAAAATATGATGATGACCGAACTATGGTCATGCCATCCTCTCTCTGTCTCTCTGTTTTTAAATATTTATTGAGTCTTGAAATATCACCTTGAGGCTTAATGCTTAAAAGGCCTTATCTCTGTTCTTTCCTTGTGCTCAGCTAGCTCGTCGGAAAGCAAATATTTATTCCAAGAGACAGAGGGATAGAAAGTCTCTAAATAGAAAGTCATATCAGTTACCAAGTTGCTTATGAATATGGAGTTGTCTTTGTTCCCCTTAAAGCAAAGTATAAATAATTAATTACTTGACAGAGTTATGACTGCAAGGGCCTCTTAACGGTATCTTCTACCTTCCATTTATATGTGGAAAGGTAGCTAAAAGTATCCCGGTAGTCTCTGTTATAAAATTTTACCGGTATAACTGGCTCAAATTCGTAGATTCTTTCTCTTATTCCTTTAAGAAGTTATATCAAATAACAAGAAATATTAAGTATAAAAATAAATCCATCCGGAAAGAAATGAAAAGTGCCGATTCATAAATAGAAAACCTTTAAGGTTTTGACTGCTTTGATTACACGGAAGAACTGTCTGCTTATGGCAGGTGGGGTGTCGGTTACATGACAGCTAAAGATAAAAGTCTAGCTCTGTGTGAGGCGTGGACTCCAAAGTCTCTAGGCTTGGGAAGGTAATGTGGCCATAAATATTTCAGGTGAATGCCACCAGTGATTTTCATACACTAGAGGAGTATGTGCAGTATTTTTTTCATTGTAAATTAATATACTTTTATGATCACAGGGTTCTCATAATGATAATACATTCTAAATTATTTTTACTAACCCATGGAATAGAAACTGTTTTCACTTGGGCTGAGCAAAATTGGAAATGTAAATATTTTATTGAAATACAAAATACCCTTTAAATGCATTCCAAAGCCCTCTCAACTCATGTCTCAATGACAGTACAGACTCTATCTGCACATAACGTTGACAGGTGATTAAACCAGGATTTTGAGTAACTGGAAAAGGTAGCTAATTTATTAAAAAATTAGACTCTGACATGTCTCAGTCAGTGAAAATTTCAAATTGTAGAAACTGATTTTAAAAATTCTAATGTATTGTTTTTGAATCATGTTGCATAGTATAGATAGAGCAAAGATAAATACTAATAATATAGTAAATTGTGCAATGAGAATTAACAACTGAGCCATGTATCACATTAATATGAAGCTTGAATTATGCCCCCTTTTTGCCTGTAGAGATTATATTCTATATTGCAAATTCTGAAGTGTTGGGGACCTTGAATCTGTTACTGCTACTTTCTCTCTACTTGACCTTGGTCAAATTTATTGTCCTCTCTGAGTTTCATTTTCCTTCATTGTAAAACAGTGCTTATAATAATACTAACACCTGTCACTCCAGTGTTAATTGGATAATGTATGTAAAACATTTTGTGGTGTCTGGTGCATAGGAGACTCTCTGTTGACGATCCAAGTTCCACCCTGGAATGTATATTCCAACTTCTTAGCATCTACATAGGAAACAGGTGCACCACAAGAACACCTTGTGCTTTTCAGTGATGTAGACCTCAAAAAAATGTGTTCTGTATCCGAATTGCTATCTATCCTTGTGTTGCCACTTGAAGGTGCTAATCCATCTATTAAAATGTAGTTGAGAGTCACTTTTAACCTAAATGGTCTGATTCAAATGTCAATATAGAATTGTTTTATCAGAAATAGAAAATAAATAAAGTAAGCAATGGAATGGAACAGATGATGAATACACTGAGTGATGGAAATAAGACTGTTATATATACATACACAGCTTAAAGATGCATTCACAAAAATTTTATACCAATTGTGTCCTTTACATGGAGAAAGTTATTAAGCCAATCCTAGTCTCTTTTAATCATCCATCAATGACTTCATTATACATTTCAGTTTTGCTTCCTGAGTGTTTTGATATAGTATCTTCTATATAGAATGTGAGCAAATTAATTTTTGAGGGAATGACTACAAAGTTAAAAAAAAATCAAGGAAAAGTCTATTTGTTAAACTATGGATTTTGATACATTTCCCAACAATAAAAGAGCTAATGCAAAGTTGTTGATCTCTTAAGGATACTGATCATCAATTATGGTTTCTGTTTTGAAGTCTTTTTAAATTGGTAAAACATTTAATTCCTTGTTGTGTTGTGACCAACGATTGTTTCAACCCTAACCTTAAGCTACAAAGTGGTTTTCCCTTCTGATTTCGAATGAGTGAATTTTTGTGAATTGGTGATCACTTTAAGCCACACATCACGTCCAAATACCACACGGGCAAATGAGAACTATGCAGTAAGACACGTTTGCACAGCCACGATGCCGGGCGGTCTCACAGCTCAGGAATGATGAGATGGAAGAATGGAAAATGAAAGAGCTGGAGGGTAGGCATCTGAACCACAAGGAGTAACAAAGAAAGGGGCATCCACCTTGGAGACCCAGGGCACTCTCGTGGTCTTGGTGGTGGCAGCTGAGGTTATTGGTGTCCATGTCCTGGAAAGAGGCACTGTGAGGCATCCTCCCACGGTCGCTCTGGTACAGCGGACAGTGAGCGGCACCGTCTGGAGGCAGTGGGTGGAAAGGCTGGTGCGTGGGGCTCCTTTTTAGAGCTTTGAGCGATGAATTCCTTTCGGGGATGTCTGGCATCAGTTCACTGATGAGACGGTGCAGGATACTGTTGTCTGGCAAACTCCCCCTTCTCTTTTCAGCTTTAATTTGGTCACAGATGTCTTTAAGGGCAGAGTCCAGAGCCTCAAACACAGACGCTTTGCATTTTGCCTTTTCAGTCTGTTTCTTGGGAGTCGAATGTTTTTTCCTCCGGAAAGGCACGGGACTGACTAGAAACGCGAGTTTCGAAAGGCCGGGGTCCAGGTCCTGTCTTCTGTGCTCTTCGGCGTTTTCGTGTTTAGCTCTTTCGTGTTTCAGCATCGTGGTGAAGCGGGTGTAAGAGGCAGGGCATCTGCCTTTGCAGGAGCTGATGAGGTGCCGGTGATGGTGGTGGTGGTGGTGGTGGTGGTGGTGGTGGCTGGATCCGTAGAAACTTTCAGAGGACGTGAAAGAAAAGTGATCGAAATCACTCTCACTGCAGAAGGACGACCCTTCGACGTGAATGTAGTCGCTGTGGTCGGACACCACCCCGTCCTGGTCGCTGTCGGAAAGCTCTGCGTGAGTTCTCGGTTGCTCGGCGCTGGTGACTTCAATGTGAATGGGCACCAGGGCTTTGGACTTGCAGCCTCGCTGGGCCTGACAAGGGTGTCTGCTTGGACTTTCTTCCTCCAGCAAAGACTCGATGGAAAACCGCCTTTTGGGGCATAGACCATTTTGCTCTGGTTCTAGGATCACAGGAGAGAGCATTTCGTCTCCTAAATTGGGCATGGATTTTGACTTCTGAATCAGCTTTTCAAATTGAGAGATGCGGGTGGGGACCATGTCCCTGGGCACCTCCTCGGCGGAGCACTGGCTCCATCCCTGCAGCAGGCCCTTGCTGTGCGGTTCATTCTCATATTGCATGATTCTCGACTTCACGGAGCAGATCACCTCTGAGTTCATCAGGTCCTTGCGGTTAATGCGGTGCATTTTCTTATACATTTTCAGGAACCCTGGGGCATTGTGGGCTGCCCTGTGGCGAAGCCGGGACCTGCCATTGCTGTGGGCCTCCTGGAGGTAGGGGGACACCCATGGGCCCGGGCAGCCCTCCTTGGAGTCCTCGTCGCAGAGCAAAGAACCCATACTTTCCGACTTGGTCGCCGGGTCAGGGAAGCTGTCGCAATCATCGTTTAGGAGATCATCGCAACTGCGGGACTTGATTTTGGGGGAAACGGCTTCCTCGGTGCTGCTCCAGACCTCGGCGTTTTGCCGGGCCATCTGCCAGCCGTTTTTGAAAGTGATGGCCCGCTGGGAGTCCCGCGGCACGTCCAGGTGCTGTCGGTAAGTGTTACAGTAATCCGCCTCGCTGGAGGGGTTACCGTTGAGCCCTGAGCAACTGCAAAGGGACGGACACATTTTGCTATCATCCCCACCTTTTAGTCCAGAGCAGCGTGGTGGGAGAGAGACATGCGAAGGAGTTAAAAGTTTCACAAGGAGGAGAGCACGTTAGTTAGCATCAGACAGCACAGCAAAGAGAAGGCAGCATGATTTAATCTAGACACTGGTGGTTACACAGGGAGCTTCAGCTTTGGAGAAAACAGTCTAATTCTAAAGCACGATACTACTTTCTCAATGAAGGTAGCTTTACCGATATTAGAATGAACAAAACCAGGCATAAAAAGTCATTGGTGTAGTTAATAAACCCATTTCTATTGAATACTTCATCTTTCTGCAAATATTATATGCCCCCAATCCAATATAGTGTCTTATAAGCTAATAGCACGACCTGGTAGTAATTTAAAAGTCTAACAGTGAATGCCCAAAGGGATACAGATTTAAGCAACTTAGTAAGGTCAGGGTTTGAATCTCATTTGATCTATAATAGAAAGGGAAGGTGTAATTTATAAATTTACATTTAATTAAAACTCCCACACTGTATGAGTTAATTTTTCATGGGAACTAGATAGAAAAAGCTATAAGACAAAGTATTTTCCAAAATTGAAAAATCCAGACGCTGTGAACTGTTGCTGCTAACATTTTTTTCCTAGACAAAAATAACTAGCATCTCTTTAAATAAAACAATTTACCTCTTTAACTGCTCTACCTAGAAACTTTTACTAGGGAGGTTCTCATAAGGATAACTGGATATAATGTGAAACTTTCCTCAGAGGTAAAGGCATCTTGCCTTTTTCCAGGGAAGGTCTTTTAAAAATGCATTTGCAATTTGACAATAGAGAGCTAAAAGTGACCTCAATTTGGAACATATGGAAAAACTCTTTTCTTTTGCTTTGCTGAATTAACTAATAAGTGAGAGGCCAAATCCATCTAATGGGACATTTTCTTCTTGGAAATAAACCTAGTGGAAGAAAATATCTCTACTGACGGCTCCTGCCTTGCAGTCTTCCCCCAAATTTTCAAAAGTAGATAAGCACATAAGTAAGTAGATAGGTAGTATTTGGGAAAGGAAATTGGCTTAATACTCCCTAGGATAAAAATAAATATCTAAACCAATCAGAATTCTTTTAACTTTTGGGTGCTATCCAAGCATAAGGAACCAATGGCATTTTATGACCTCTGTGTTACCTTAAGATATTTGCTTGCATAAATGTGCCCCTGTTAATTCGAGGAAAGGCATCATGAAAGGGGCTCACTCCCTCCAAACCTTCCAGTTAGTATTCACGGCTTTACTAGGACATGGGAGAGATCTGCTGTCTTCCGTTTGTCCAGACTCCAAGCATCAAAACCAGCCTGCCTTCTGCACGCAAACCAGCTACCTCTCACCTTTAACTACCATGGGTAATACTTTTAGTGCCTACATTTGATGCATGCAGCTGAATCTGTGCTCTTTCATGGAAACTTCTGTTAGAACTCGCTTTCCTCACACATTTCAGATTCCCTCTCTGTGTGTTTAAACCCCAGGAGACTGGAGGAGACGGTGGAGCCCCCGATTTGGTACAGACCTACGTCCTAGGGACCCTAGTTCAGTTCTCAGTCTCCATCTTAGCAGTATCCCTGCTACGGTGGCAGCAATGGGCTCAACAGTATTTCAGAGACTTGAAGGAGCGACTTGCTCCCTTTCAGCACAACTCACTGAATTTCCAGAGGAGACAGGTCATAGGGAGAAAGGGCTTGGTGATGTCTAAGTTTTATAATGTGACTGAAAACCAGGTAGTTCTCACTACGGTACTGCCGTGGATTGAACACTATGTTCCGTGCAGAATATGGATATTTTACTGTATATCTGAATATTGACCAAAATATAGAGCGGATGACTAAAGAAATGACTTCACAGGTTAGACAAATTTTATATAGAATTAAATAATAATAAAAAACAGTTTATGTTTTAGGCAACAACGGTCTCTGTTGCTACTTCTAATTCCTGTTCTATAAATCTGATTAATTTTGCATATGTTTATAAATGTAATCTTTTAGTAGCCTGACAGTAAACTATTTGATGGCTTGAATTTGTTCCCCCCCCCCAAAACCACAAATGATACGTTTGGAAGGAAAAAAGCATTAACAGACGATAGAGTCCTTGAGGCCACTCAGATGGCTCAACCTGAGTTGGTCTGTGTAGGAAGAACTATGGTTCCAGCGCTTATGTAAATGCTAACTACCCCGGGCAGTTATCGCTGGACCGGCTCTCACAGGGAACTCCAGGGTAAAGCTCACACTAGTAACTTGTTTACACTTCAATTTATTGCTGTTTACCTTTTGCTCTGGACGGTGAGGAAGGGGAAGAACTAATGAAAGACTGGGTCAGGGTGGCGCTTGATCCCGGGCCGTCCGCCCGGCCGGGGCCGGTCCTGCTGGCCCGTGGGTCCCCCAGGCCCCTCGGCTGCCCCACGGCGGGCTCGCTCTTCCTCCTTTTTCTGAAGTCACTGGCCAGGCCTGCAGAACTGAAAGAAGGGATCGGCTTCAGTTTGGTTGGCGTTGGTGGAGGTTAACCTGAGCCAGAAAGACGGGTGGGATATGCTAGTAACAGTGTTATAACTCTTACCCCAAATTCCACACTGCATTTTTGGGAATTCGTTCCCTGATATCAAACACTCTTTATAATCATTTCTTTAAAAAAATTAATCGACTTTATTTTTTGAGAGCGGTTTTAGATGACTGAAAAAGTGATTGGAAAGCATAGAGTCCCACACGGACCCTTGCATACAGATTTCCCTCTTATTGACATTTGTCACAGCTGATGAATGGTACTGATGCATTATTAGTAAATGCAAGTAAAGTCCATAGTTTACATAGGGTTCATGTTTTTTGTTGAACAATCTGGGTTTTGACCATTGTGGGACAGCATGCGCCCATCACTGCTGTGTCCTGTATCATGTCCGTCAGAATCCCCTCTGCTCCCCTGTTCATCCCTCCCTCCCCTGAACACCTGGCAACCACTGGTCTTTCTACGGTCTCCACAGTTTTGCCTTTTTCGGAATGTCATAGAGTTGGAACCAACAGTATGTAGCCATTTCAGATTGGCCTCATTCATTTAGCAATATGCATTTAAGATTTTCTCCGTGGTTTTTTTTTTTCTTTTTTTTTTTCTGATAGCTCATTTCTTTTTATTGTTGAATAACATTCCATTCTGTGGATGGACCACAGTGTGTTTACCCATTCAGCAACTGAAGGGCATCCTGGTCGCCTCGGAGTTTGGGCAGTTATGAACAAAGCAGGTGTTTGTGCGAATATGAGTTTATAATTTTTAAAGTGACAATGCTCCAGTTCGTGCAATATGTTGTAACGGACAATTCAGTCTTGTGATTTGTATCGTGTATCTGTTCTCTATCAGGAAGCGTTCTAACAACATGACTACATCCAGAGGAGGGAATGACAGAACGGAGGAAAGGATTGGAAAAGAGGAAGACACCTGGTGAGACAGATTTCTTATCTCAGGGCCTCCCTATGGCTCTTGGCTTTAAAAAACCTTACACTGGGATTCCAAGATTTTCCTACTTAAATAATGAATGACCAATGATTTGGTCAGCAAATACATTGTTAAAAAGAGTTCTTGCACCCAGCTGAGTTAAATGGTGTCAACAGTTTTAATGGCAGGAACTTTTTATCATGGTTCTGAGTCTGAGTATATCATTTAAGACAAACATGAGTGAAGGAAGCTATCTATACGTCACACAGCACTTTGTCAGATCATTAGATACAATTACATCAGCAGCAGCAGTAAAAGCACACCAGCTCCTAGGAGCCAGAGGATTGCTGTTTGCTATACTGACAGTATAGACTTATATAGCCCAGTGTCATCCCTGTTTCATCAATGAGTAAATGGAACACACACGCTTTGCAAGTCTAGAGGTGGAGCCAGATCTCAGGATTTGTCTGCACCCCTTGAGAGACAATGCCCATCTTTCCTAGACCTGTTTTGCACTCATTACTCTGTCCCCTGAGGGTCTGTGTGTCTTCACAGCAACCCTCAGGTCGGGTCAGAGCTCTAAAATTCAAACATTTTAGGTGCACATATAGATGGAAAAAGGTATAAAAGGGTTGGGGGAGCTCCTCTCTCAGTGACGTTAATGTTGTTGGATGGTACTCAACGAGCCCAGGTTACAAAGTTTTCTACTTATGTCCATAGAAATCTATAGAAGGGCAGATTAATGTTACAAGTGTGTTGTTGGTGATATAGTGTGGCTGAGAGTTTGGATTATTCAACGTTGCTGTTGGACTGTCTGAATTTCTGTGACATTTTCAAATAAGTATGATATTCAGAGCCCACCAACAGAACTCACCTTGGCAGATTTTAAGGCAGGTCCAAGTGGTTGGTTACAAGCTATTTTGGTTCAGTTCTACCTTATCTCTGCTGCTTGTCAACTGTGTAAACTTAGTAAGTCATAGAGCTTAAATGTCCGTTTACTCAGAGATAAAAGAGGATAATGGTGCTTAACTCACAGTGGTGTCTTCAGGATTGAATATGTTTATGTACTTAGAGTGGCGGGTATATAGCATCAACCCTCATTTATTGGTAGTAACAGTAATTCTGATTTGTGTGGTTAGAGTACAAGGAACAAACCTGTGTAGAACATAATTTATAACATTTTTCAAATGTGTGTCATATAACAATATTGAAAATTAGATGTTTATAATCCCCATTTAAAGAAAAGAAAACTGGTTATTGAGGAGACAGGGAAGGGAAGAATTTCTCAGTCTGTAAAGGTGTCCAGAGTTATTTCACTTGATTTTCATAAATTCTTAAATACGACCATATAAAACGATGCTGAAACAAAATAAGACAACTTCATGAGTATGGTGCTTAAAATAAAAACATGATACGCAACCCTTATTACTATTTCATGGAAAAAGAAAGCACTGGTATACAGTATTCTGGTTGCACAGTGTATTAACATGCTTACCTGTTGGGTCTTTCCAGGCTTCTGTCGATAGAGGATTGGTACAAGGAGGCCTGTGAAGGCAGAATAATAGTATCATAAAATTTTTATCATGGCAAAATGTCTTTTGTCCATGAGCATTAAATTAGGTATGCTTTAAAAAGAATATTTTCAAAACTGTGATTAAAAATACCGTTTATCATGATCATAACAAATGTCTTCCCCCAAAGAAGTCACGCCACCTGGTTTCCAGTCCTTCCCACCCACTTCCTCTTCTGATTAACTGCGTTGTCCTGCTCTGTTCTACTCAGATTACCTACAACCTAAACACTGCCTGGGAGAAAAAAGGAAATCAGTAACTGCTCTTCATGTGGCAAATGGACTATAAATAGAAACTTCCTACGTAAAGGAATAGTTTGATGTTTTTAAAAAATTTGAAATCATTCAATCCTTATAGAACATAAACCTTCTTTATAGATTTCTGTCATCTTGTCAGGTGTGATCTTTAAAATCTGAAATTTAAGCAGAACTTTAGACATTTTTCATCTGCCAACACAGACGTGACATTTTAATAAAAACCACAGAATTTGGCTTGAAATTAAACTGAACTACTGGCACTTAAATCAGGTACAATTATATCCTTCAAATAGTTAAGTTTCAGGTTGGTTTAAAATAAATGGTTTAATGAACCAACATATGGCCTTTTTTTTTTTTTAAAGTCGACTTTTAACATTTTCATCAGTAAAATCAACTCTCAGTTGTCCATGGTTGTAAGAACAAAGAAAAATAGAAAATACAAACCGATAAACAATTCCAAATGTTTATGATACACACGGTTTTCACGCTCCTTCATTCTGAACAGTGCAGTGAAACCAATACTAAGCAAAAATGTTACATAAGAGTTTTTCACTTCCCACAGCCGTCTACTGGGATAATTGCTAAAATTTCTAAAAGGCAAGAGAGAATCAGACTCTAGAATGCTGGAGGTGACACGGATGTCTAGAATGTATAGGAAAAAATATACTAACTAGTCTCGGCTTTGGTCATATTTGATGAGTAATTCTTCATCACTGCATTCCAGTTTGAAAATGTTCTTCTATATGAACGTCTAAAAGTGTCAGCCAGAAAGAGAATTTGGCACGTTTTTATCTTAAGTCCTTACCACTAAGAAGTATTTTACCAGAGTGCGAAAAACCTTCTTAGTGGAAATTAAACCACACTTTCAGAACTATTTCTGTAACTTTAGTTTCTGTTTGTAAATTAGCACCAGTTAACCAGTTAAAATATTGTATATAATTTTGAGATTCTTTATGTAGAGCCGTCTGACAAGCCCCTTTATGCAGAACTCTAAAACTGCCTCCATTCAGTAATACTTTCATCTAACTCCATCTTACTAAAAGAGAGGGGAATCTTGCCCAGGAGCAAACAGAAGCATCCTCTGTAAGAGAATACAGCATAGTCTAATAATTTTAGTTACTAAAAAACATTTACATTTCTAGGCTCTCAACAAATATAAAATTAGAAAAAAAAAGTTTGGTCTACTGATCTGATAAGTTGACAAGATTATTCTAACTCTCTGGACTCTGGATCAGACACTGGAAAGGTGGAAAAAGAAACATTGAATAAGAAGGAAAACCAACAGGTAAATAAACAAAACCAGATACTTATATTTTGATTTAGAAATATCACTTCTATGCGTTTGCAGAGGAGCAACACCCTAGAGCCTCAGAACCCTGCCATCTGTGTGGCTCGCCCCTTTCCCGGGGCACCCAACCACAAACTGCAGCTGATCACCAGAAAGTGTAATTTCCAGAGCGCTCAGAACACACCCAGAGGGGTCAGAAATTCTGGATTGCCAGCTTGGGATGAGCCTGAATAATGTCGTAATATGAATGAAAACATCGTAGAGGAAGTGAAGGCTCTACTCTTCCCATCGTTTTAGACTTAGGCTAAGAAACAATAATTCCTCGTGTTGGTTTCCACGATCCAAAATAAACCGAAATGGATTGTGTGATTTTACGTATACTTAAAGGAAAAGGTTTAGTATTAAATGAAAAGGAAACAGTAAAAGGTCTACACGGATGACTAAGAGAAAACCTTGTATGATAACTGTATGAATGATACTCATCCTGAAATGGAAATTGTCCCCAGAAAGGAGGTAACCTATTTTACCTATTATGATCTACTGAGTATTTACATATTGCCATTATTTTAACGCACTTAAACAAAAGTCATTTTAATAAAGTGTAGACACTGAATCACTCTTTCTGTTAAGTGATCATGGGATTATATTTTGCTTATAAGTCCTCAATTGCTCTTCATTAATGCTAGTTCCTCAGTTATGCTTATGGATTAGAAAATACGTTGTTCATGGCATATACTAGGCACTTTATACATGGCAACGAAGGTAATGCTAATCAATTACAATTTTTACAGAAATGCTTTACGTAGGTTATTAAAGACAGAATACAGTACCTTATCAGAGTACTTTTGTACTCTGAAAAACCACAAAGTGAAATTAATAACATAGTCAATATGCTATCAGAATCATACAACACCCCTCTCAATTCCAAAGAAATAATGGCAAATCAGTTTAACCACCAGCAAAGTGCTTTTTTTAATGTGATTTTTCTTGCCACTACCATAATAATATAGAAATCACAGAATTAAGTTTCTACTATTTTTAGCCCAAGAATTTAACATAAATCAATAGGTAATAAAAATAGTATTAACTAGGTAGTTTTTGTTTCTAAAAAATTTGAGCTCTAAATCTATCTCCTGGAAGTGCTAAGAAATATGGGATAAAGCAAACAGCCCTGAGGTGAAGGTTAAGAGATCTGTTTTATTTTTGATTTGCCACCATCTTACCGTGTGCTTTTGGACATTACTTCTTAAATTCACTGAGCTCTAGCTTTCTTGCCTGAGAATCAGGGAGTTGGATATGGCGATCTCTAAATCCTACTTCAGTTCTCATGAGTCAACTGCCTTAAAAACAACCTAGAGATGTCTGACCAAAATATCTGAGAGAAATATCTGACCACATGGAATTCTGAAGTAAATTTTTGGGCCATCCATGTGTTTAAGTGATATCCTTTCTTCAGATGTGAAGGAAGCGTAAAAATAGAATTGCTTGTTATATTTGATTTTTCTTTACATTATATGCCCATCTACAAAAAATAAGCATTTAGAGGTGATTGAATTCACCAACCCAGAATGTTCCTGATTCCTCTATTTTACTTTTAATTGAATACCTAAATATTCTGGTCACTTCTGTTTAACCTACCTACACTCTGATGATGCATAGCTCAGGGGAAATAATTTGGGATTGTACATTGAGGTTCTAGAAAGTTGGCTATTTCCTTCCGAGACTGTACTTGCAATTCCAGTTTTTACAACCGTGTGTCCGTAGTATTTCCAGCAGCATAGGCATCCTACTAGCTTTATTTTATTTCCTAGTTGCACATATTTAACTGAGTTAAGACTTTTCGATGAAAGTAAAATATTTATTAAGTGCTTTTGTATTTACTTAGGACCGCAGAGAAACTACTGTTCAAGCACCAGTTTATTTGCTTTGTCCTAGCTGTCTCTAAGATTCCCCACAAGGAGGCTTTTATACAACTGATGTTTAGCGAGACTGTCACTTTTGCTTGCGTCTACTAATGAGTCCTAAATCTGCTTTCCAAAATACTGTATTTTTTCTTTGCAAAGAACAGGATAAAAAGCTTTTGACTCTGAATTATTTCTGCCTTTTTCATACTCTCTTTGATCAATTCAAATAAAAATTTACATTACCCAGCATGATTTTTTTTTTTTACCTGGCAGATTGTCATGAACATTTCTAAACAGAGATAGCAAATACATTTTGTGTCATATGCCAGTGATAGTCTGTTACAGGTGCTGCCTGGATTACAGGGTGAAGAAGGGTTAGTAATGCCCGTTGAGCATGTGGAACTGGAAAGTTGTGACATGTGAGCCAGTTATTTGTCAGCCCTATTTTTTTTTTTTTTTAACATTTAATTTTTTTCAATTTACAATTTACATTCAATATTATTTTGTATTAGTTTCTGTTATACATGTCAGCCTTATTCTTAATTTTATCTGATTCTAAAATTCACATATTGTATTTAAGAAAATGAAAGAATTAAAATACATTTTAGGAATATGTGGGGCATAAACATCTGATTATCTAAGAATTGAAAGGGTCGTTTTATACCTCCAAGCAGGATGCTAAAATGGCTCAGAGAAGCCTTCTGGTCGTAGTTTAATAGAAACAAGTGGTTAATATATGCACTGAGACCACTGCTCTCGGTTTTTGATGATCACAGCCCTAGGTACCAGGGCCGTGCTGAGTAGTTCAACTCAGTTATGGTTGGACTGATTCTGTGCCCACAGTTCAGAAAGAGCCAACGCCTTTGGTATAATTCAGGTCCAAGGGATGATACTGGTTACAACACGTAGTCTTAGATTTTCAAAAAAACCTTAGACACTACAGTGAATTGTAAAACACAGATGCTCGGAATCATAGTAACCGCTCCTAAGAGAGAAATCTGAAAAAGAGAGTAATTTGTTTTTACCTCGTTGGAAACACCAGAAGAATGGTCTTGAACATAGTCCAGAGCCTTTTTAGGAGGCTGGGTGTCGGGGCACACCACATAAGCAGAAGTGTAGAGATGGAATGGAGGAGAGTCAATGGCAGCAAGGAATGGACATGTGGAAAAGGTGACAACAGTTAGAAATCGAGTGATGATAGCATCAGATACACATAAAGAGTGGCACGCATGGAGCAAAATGGGGGGAGCCTAGGAGGAAGAGTGCTCTGTCCGTAACTGTTCTCAAGCACTGGGCAGAATTACTGGTGGCTTGGTTAGTATATTTATCAATTCATTTTCAAATCGAATTAGCACTCCTAGTCTCGAGCCACAGAGGAATGCAAGGTTGATTAAAGAAACATTCAAGGAGCAAGTGGACAAGTGGATAGCATGCTGGTGAGTTTCCATGTGTGGCTGAAAATGATTATAGAAAAATGCTGGTAATTTAGGCTCAGTGCAGAAATTGGCAGAGTCCCTATCAACTGTCTAATCAACAATAACAATGCATATAAAATAAAGTTAGAGAATTTATTGTCTCTGAAATAAAATACATGTATGTGACTACTCGGATACAAATTAGAAAAAAACGAGAGAAAATGCTCCTCATTAGGTATAGAAAGTCTAGGAAAAAATTCTTTGGTTTATATTTATTTACAGTCACTTTTGGTCCAGTTCAATAAGATAATGAACGAATCTAACCCAGTCTCCTTTGCATTTTAATGGACAAAAGGGACTACTCTCACCACCCAGTGGAGAAAATGCGGTTTAGTGTAGGAGCATATAAATCAATCTGTGATATGGCAGAAGAAAGATTGTACTCCCTGGTCTTTAATAAAATTCTGTGCAGTGTAATAAACAGTATGTTTTTTGAGAGTTTAAAATTCAGAAACACCAGTAAAAATATAAAAATATGTAATGGACACCCCTCAAATGCACTGCTCTTGGTAGATGGAGCCCCCCAATGAAACTTGAGTCGAGGAAGGAAATCGCTATTTGAGACCTGGGTGACTCTTTAAGCCAAACATTCTAACCGATTCTCTGAAGGTCAACTTTGGTGGGGATTTGGGGACCAGAGGTGTTGTGGTGGCTTTTGGTAGCAAGACTAGAAATCTGGGTGTGCAGGGTTTCCTTCTTTTTACGTCCCTAACAGTAAATAAGGTGTTTTATAGTGGGAATTTCTGGCAGTATGTTATCATGGGAATTGCCCAGAAGGTTTTTTTGGTTGGTTGGTTGGTTGGTTTGATAGGACTGGGCTTAACATCTGACTCTGCCACTTGCTATCCTGGGAAAATTCCTTAACCCCTCTGGCCTGGTTCTTCTTACGGGAGGGGCACTGCGAGGACTCACTGGGACAGTGGCTGCAGACCCAGCTCTCAGCAGGTGGTGATTCTTCAGCACCAGGGAGCTATAATAATAGTAACTATTGTTTTTATCAGTGTCACCACGCTCCTTTGAATGAACTAGACCAAAGTGGACTATAAACAAATAGAAACTTCTACAAATCTGCAATTGTCTGACTATTCGAGGGCACAGTCTACCTCAGCATTTTGAATTTGCTCAGACCTGAAGCGATCCTCGTGAATGACTTGGTGGTAAAGAAAATCTGTACAGCAGGTGTCTGAGCGCTTAGCCATTTGGTACGAAGTGACTGTGGGCTGAGCTGTACCAAGTTTGTGCCCTAAGTTCCCACTCGACCCTTGTCCTCTGAACGACACCTGTCGCTTCTGGTAAGGAAATGGTTTATAAGTCAAGCAGCATTCTCCTAATGTTCTCACAGTAAGAGTCCAGCCTCACTTACCGGGCGTCCAAACTCCAGCTCTGAAAAGAACTTATACCAGGGCTCATTTTCTAACTCTACGTCATCGGGACGTATGCGGTCAGTCTGGAGCAGACGTGAAGGCAGAGGGAAGGAAAAGGCACACTGAGCGAGGCGAGGGACACGCCGTGCGGCCTGAGACACGCAGCCACACCAGACGGGCACCCGCTCCCATCCGGCCGGCTCGGCCACGCGGGGCAGGGCAGCCGAGTCGGGGAAAGTCAGGAGTGAAACGAGCTGGCTGGCACCCCGAGGCCCCTGGCTATCTCCTCTGCCCCCCGCTTCTGCCTTTCCCCTTAGCTTGACACACTGACAGTGAAAAACTGCCTGTGACAGGAGGGTGAGCGTGGATGGCACAGCAGAGTATAAAACAGGCTCAACTCTGTCACCAGGCGGCCTGTCCTCGCGGGGCCCAGCGTGCACGTCTGCGGTGTGCAGACAGGTGGAGAGCCTGGGAAGCAGGGGGTGGGGGGAGATACAAGGTGGGGGAGGAGTGAGGGGTG